CCCAGTGTGGCGCTCTTGCCAGTGTGTGAGAGGAAGCACGATTGCAATAATATAAAATACATTCCAAATAAAATAATTAAAATACATTGCAGATCTAGATGCATAATTATTAATATTAAATATTTAATAATTACAGTTTAGATAATTTACAGTAATATAATATTCAAACAAAAAATAAAAATTCCAAGAAATTAAAAATAAAATAAATTATAATAATTAATAATAATTATTATATAAAAGATATTAATATATATATAATACATATAAAGATAAATAAACAGAAAATAAATTCGAAGAAAATAAAAATGATCCGTACATAGGACCTCATAACAATAATATTCTCTGAACAATAATATTCTCATAACAATAAATTCTACACAAAATAAACAGCTCAAAGAAAAACGAGAAGCCAAAAGGGTAGTACTATAAATAAACAAATTTGATTTACAAAAATGGTAAAAATAATCAATAATTATTTATGTTGAAGGAGTAATGATTCCTAAATAAATCCAAACGAAAGTTTTAATTATAACTTTAAAAATCATGCACATTCTTACATGAATTTCCTAAAATTAAAAGCAAAATAAATAAAACTTATACAATAAATTTATAATGCATAAAGAACTTTTATTAGTAATCTCATTTAAAAGCAAATATTCTTCTAAGAATGCCGTCTCCACCAATTATAATTAGAGTGAAAAAATACATATAATAAATACCCTTTGTCAGAAATTATATACGTAGGATTAAATTAATATTTTTTAAAGATTTTGAATACATAACTAATGCTAAAATTTATTCATTTCATTTTCATTTTGCTAATATTGTGTGAAATGACGAATTTTTTTTTAAATTCTTTTTCATAAAAATACTAGTAATTAAGTTTTAAATTGAAATAAAATACGTAAGTGATTTTAATAATGATTCTTAAATAAACCTATAATGAAAATCATATTTTTCTAAAAACGTTAGACGACGATAGCGTTAGATAACATTTAATTAAGTAATTAAATTTTTTGAAGAGTAGATTTAAAAAGAAAACTTATTACAATATAATTAAATCAACCTATTTAATATAAGTAATTTATTGCGATTTCTATCCTAGCATCTATTTAAAACACCATTCATTTTTTTTAAAGAACATTTTATATCAATGTTTTAGAAATACTGATATTTTTCATAATTAATGTGGGAATATTTATTATTTAAATATTGATATTATTTTTTAATTGCAACATATGTATTCCTTTCTTCTAAGCGTTGTTATAAAATTCATAAAAATAATTAATTTTAATTTTTTATAAATACATTTTCAAGTAGATAATACAGAAGAAACTGAAGAAAGGAACTTGTTGTATCGAATGAACCCACGAACGAACCACAAGGCCACGAACCCGTATGGACTCATGGTTGAAGGGATAGGGGGTAGCTTCTGATGTGATGGAAACCCGTAGGTAGAAGTCTGACTTCCGTGACGCTGTACAGTCATATGAGATCGGTTTAAAGTGAAAAAAAAAAAACTAAACATCCGGGGACTCGAATCCGAAACATATGACACCGAGCGCCAGAGTGCTAGACACTCAGATATTCAGACCCCAAGATGCTTGTTGTTGTACAATGATCACCCAGTAAAGTATAAAAGTTTTACGTAAGGGAATGTCATGGACAAGAAGTGACACGATATCTGAGAGCTGGCAGTGCTAAACTATAACAAAAAGAACGACAAAGAGTACTAGAAATATCTTCTCAGCAAGTTCAAGTGGTTAAATTTTAATTCAAATTGATAAAATACCTGAGCATCTGTAAAATATTTTTACATGTTGGAGAATGATCGGTAAGTCTGAGAAGTGGTGAAATATAACAAGATCAGTTCAAGAAATTCTGATCGACAAAATTGTAGTTTCATGAGCTTTGAAGGCATTGTATACCAGGTATAGACCATTAAAAAGGATGACAGTTGAAAATAATGCCAATAATTAAAAAGAATGCCAATGATTAAGCACTAAACTGTTCTGCATTGGGAAATGGATCGATAATAGACAGCAGGCTGCAACAACGTGCGGCACAGAGTATTAACTCTACTACCCTATTAGTAACGTGTAATTATTAACGATGATCATACTCATTCATAAATGTTACCTATTCTCAGCCGTTTTTAACATTGCATAACATTGACAGCTATCCATTTACCTACAATTTAGACTCATGTAAAAACACAAATTTTGGATATTTTATCAGTGGAGTCGCCTACTCTTCGTAAATGTGTGTCGTTTTATTGTCACAAATGATTATCAGCATCAAATGATATCAATTATTCAACACTAATAAACGATTAATAAATTACATGAATAATAAATAAATCAGATAATAATAATCAAATAAATTGAATCTTTTTAAAGATCAACATAATATAGTGCATGAATAACACAGAAAGTAAAATAATACCCCATTTTATTACAATATATATCATTTTATCTTTAGCTCACGTTGTTTTATATTAGCATATTTGACTGCGGTGTAATTTTACGTAACTTATACTAAACTCCTTTTCTTACTTTATAGAAAAATATATTCCAATCTTTGCCAACTAATTGCGCGACATTTTCAGGCAGACTAGATAAGAGATAATGGGTTCGCACATCCTTGGTGTATTACCATTCTTCGAAAAATCATTTTGCAAAATTCGAGTGCGAAATTTTTATAAATGCCTTGAGTTGAAATTGGCCAAACATAAGCAAATACAAACCGAATCCCCGTACAAGACCTTTCGAGGCATGCTGTCAAAATGCGGGGACTCTAAAAATGATTTATATTTGCAGAATTTCGTTTCAAAGCGGGAAGAGTTTTGATTTAAAAACACCTTTGTTGCTTGGGGATAGGATTTATTTGACAACATAATGTGGCATTACTGAGAAGAAATTCTTATTTTATGTTTAAAATGTATCTTCGAAGTGTTACGCAAATTTGTATCTGTATTTTGCCTAATGTTTGCCAGACGTCATCACTTTATCATTTGTCAAACCATTAAAAGCTCGTATCAGTTTCACTGAAAACTAAACATTTACGAAACAACCATGTACGACATGGATAGGAAGAAAAGTGGGATTTCATAAAACTGAAACGGAATTTTGTTTTAAAATATGTCTAATATATTGATTACGATCATTTGATATTTGAACTGCAGCAAGGTAGAAGATTCAACTTTATTAAGAGTGTATGAGAATGATCTTTGCTAGACTAAATAAATATATTGCTAGTGAAATTTTAATAACATATTTCAGGGATGTCATCTAAGGTACTAACGACTTAAAAAGGCATGCATCAGGTTTCAACCTTTTCCATTATATTGAATGGAAAAGGCAAACCAATGTACTGTATTATCAACCAAGTCACTCTTTCTCCTTCGTTGCCACTATAGTTCCTAAGATGGGGCAAGGCCGTCTGCCTGCTGGCATATTTGGATAAAAGAGATATTTTCTCTTTACGGAGTAGGGTTGTAAGCCTTGCGTCCAACGCTCTAAAGTCATACTAGACCAGAGCGCTAGACCTAGCGCTTGGCGCTCAGTAAAACAGGTGTCGGATTCGAATCCCAGCGTTCCATGGATGTTAGCAATGGTTAGGAATCCACTTTAACAAGTAGGTTCCGGTCTTTTTTCTTTTCGAAAAAAAATTAATTTACAATAGATACACATACTTTTGTTTTAAATATTACTGTACAAACTTTTAAATTAATAGTAGTGTGATACAACCAATAACAAATAAAAAAATAAATCAAAGAAATATATAATTATAACACTTTTTTTCCATAATTATTAAAATTATTTTTATATCAGAATCATAAGCGAAATTAACATCTATGCTTTTCTACTCAATTTCAATGTCTAGTGTTAAAATACATATCCTTTTTTAATAATGCACTAAACATGTTTTAATTTTTCTTCCAAAAAACAACGAGAAGAATTATCTATTCTGAAAAGTTTCTGAAATCTCTTTAAATATTAGTAAACACTAGAACATGTCCAAAATGTAGACAAAATAAAGAAGCCTATATTAAGAATTGCAATGCAAGCAAAATTTTAGATAACGTATTTCCTTTTTGCCAGTTTGAAAATTTTATTTCGGATTGCGATTTTTTTAATAGCATTTATGATCTATAATTAACAGTTAAAACCTTGCATTAATGATTTTCTTAGTAAGACAAAAGTACTAATACGTTCTATTTTATACATAATATAAGTTTAAATTGTGATAATGAATTGTCAATAAATTTAACAAATATATGAATACTCTTAATAAACACGTCATAATAATATTCTTTAATAAAGTAATACTTTCTGAAAGAAAAAAAATAATAATAAGAATTTTTATTTAAGAAATATATACAAAATAAGCTCTTCTACCTAAAGAAATGCCATTTGTTCTTAATAGTATTAGTAATTCCCTTCGTGCAATAAACCAAAACAAACTTCTACTGAAGAAATCTTTTTTTTTTTAAATACTTCCCTGCAGTGAGGAATTTATAACAATCCTGGGGGATTCACAATCTTGTTGACGAAAAGAACTATCAGTTAAAAAAAAATTATTCAACGGAATTTTTAAAAAAAAAAAATTAACCTGAAAAGTTGGATACAAGTGGGAAAGAGTGAAATAAAGTTAATTACGATTGCTACAAGTTATGTAACAAATTTTTATTGTAGTTAGAATTATATATGGACAAACATAAAAAGTTAACAACAACATTCAAAGACAGGTGGGACATTCAAGCACACATATAAGTTCTTAGCCACTTCTGAGAAAGTTAGTCAGTATAAAGAAGGTATCGCTTATGATCAGCTGTAGGTATTACCGGTTAAAACAAAAAAAATAATTAAGTGAAATTTACAATGAGTTAATTTCTACTATTATTTCTTCCGAAATATTGGGCCGCATTGTTAGGAGTCAGAGGTTGTCATTCACAACATGCAAAATTTTGCGTTTATTATGTTTTTAACTTTTTGTACTGAATATATCGGTTCTCGTCCGATCACAGAAGTCAAGCATCATCAGGCGCGGTCAGTACTTGGGGGAGTGACCACCTGGGAACAAAGCGTGTCGTTGGCATTAAAAAATCGGGCCCAATGGCCGGGTAGCTAACGCTCTGGCGCTAAGTGCCACAGGTATCGGGTTCGAATCCCGGAGGTGCTATGATGTTTGTAGTGGTTTGGAATCCATTTTAAGCCGTAGGTCCCGGTCACATAGGATCGTAGAGCGTCACAGAGCCCAATCAGACTTTTCACCCACATCATTACCAAACTGTATAGGGCATCTCAGCTCTAGGTACAGTGATGTGGTTTGGTGTAGTATTAGTAATAAGTTTTTGTACATGGACTCTATATGTGAATCGTTAATAAAACTAGACATTTTTTCTGATTTACTTGCATTTCATTATTGAAAAGCTGATCTGGCATAGCTAGTGATTGATAGTGGTTAGAATAGTTGTACATAACGATAGAGGGAAATTTATATACAGCTAATTTGGTAATTACACAATAATTTCATTGATATTACTGAGACAAATTTTTTGTTATTATTTTTCGCAAAGGTTTTATTGCTAATTTCCACAATAAAAAAATTAACCTGAAAAGTTGGATACAAGTGGGAAAGAGTGAAATAAAGTTAATTACGATTGCTACAAGTTATGTAACAATAACAATATTATTTTTGACACACACAATATTTTTGATTGTGAATATGTATAATAATGATTATCGTTATCATCCAGAGTAATAATAATCAAATAAGTATACATATAATCAAGATATCAATTATCATTATAAAATTGTTTATTATATTATTTTATTATATTATTATATTATATTATTATATTATATTATTATATTATATCATTATAAAATTATTGTAAAACTAAAGCAGATAATGAAATTCATTATAAAATGTAAACTTTTAAATTATTATTATGTTAATTACAAGATTTAAATATTTTAGTTTGGTCTTAAAAATGAGTTAAATTTAGCTTGTTTAAATAACTAATTAATATAAAGGATCAATAAAGCTTAAATCATTGTAAAGCGGACGTCATGTTCATGAAGGTACACAGCACGAGACCTAAGTCCTAAATTATCATACGTAGATTAAACACTAATTACTTGGAGACATCTTTCCATATTGTTTACTTTTGAAAAGAATCCGCCGCAAAATTTTCTAAGACTTGACGAAATCCCGTCATTAGCTCCAACAACGTTAGATCTGGTGGCTGTCACCATGTTGACAGTCGGGATAATCAAGTTTTAAGATTGGTATTTCCTGCAGCTCGAATCTTCTGCCTTTCCGACCTCCAAAAGGGAGAAAGACAACACGTGACCCAGTTGAAAATAAATGATGTCATTCAATCCCTCCCTTTTGTTGAATGTATGATATTTTGGCCTGCAAGACGCCATTTTGTTCAGAGTGGAAATAATTGAATCCGCGTGGATTTTCCACGATAAAAAGGGGGTATAAAATAAATGCAAATGCCTCTTTAGAATGTTAATTTGGACTTCCAGACTGCGATGGAATGCAGATTTTGCAGCATTCCGGCGATAATAGTTCTACGAAACGAGGAGTGAAAATGTTAAGGGTGATCCAGGAACGTAGGGTTTAAATGTGTAATGCATTCCAACGGTATCAAGATCAACTTGTGACTGATATTTTAAATGCTACGCGTAAACTATCAGTTGAATTTTTACCAGAAAATGTTTATATGTAACTAATTTAAACTATTATATAAAATGCAATAAGTATTGTGTGATAATCGAAATAAAAGATAATTAATAATGGCATATGTCATTTGCTTTAGTGACATTGACAGATAATATTAAATTTCATTTGATCTTTTGAATTTTTCTTGTTGTAATTGAGCGATATGCCAATTGCATTTGCAATTATTTGAGCTTTAAAATATAAAATAAATTTTTTCTATGAGTATTCTTTATTTTTTAAAAATCAAATTTGTGATTTTTTTTAACATTTACTACAATGTGATATTTTGCATTCCTCAAATTTCTCTCACTGAATATAAAGTTCACAATTTAATGATTCCCAATTACAAAATGTATTGTTAGATAACATAATAAACATGATTAATTGAATTTATATTGATAAACAATTTGATTTATTGACGAGTGGTAGACAATGATAAGGAAGGTTTCAAATGCCTATTCCATTAACTATTATTAATTTTCAAAACGCTACAGCGGCTTACTGACCAAATGGCTTGTACTCTGGTCTACATGTTTCAGGTTCGTTTCCTGGTGGGGATATGGATGTTTTTTCGTGGTTCGGATTTAATGTTAGAACTGTAGATCTCTGGCTCGCAAGTCCAAAATGTGCAAAAAAGCTATAACATTTATTTGAGGCAAATTTCATTCTAACTAAATTACATGGTAATTAATGTTCTTAAATTAGGTAACTGCTAAAAAGACATAATTTATACTTTTGAATTTAAATTTTCTCTTATAATTGTTTCGGCGGCCTGGTGGTTAGCGCTTTGGCCTTTGGTATTCCAGGCTTCAGGTTCGAATTATGGTGGTGCATGGATGTCTGTAAGTGGTTCGGAATTCACTTTAAACTGTAGGTCCCGGTCTGTTTCGCCTAAATTGTGCACAAGATGACCGTAGAGCGACAAACCAAAGCCTTATAATTATTTCATATTTTTATTTTTAAATATTGAAACTATATATAATATTTTTGTTGGCATTTTGGAAAAAAAATAACAATTAAGAAATCATTTATGGTTTTCCATTAACAATGTTTGCTTACTAACAACTTTGTTAACAAAATATTGCTGAAGGATATATATATATATATATATATATATACACTGAAGTGACAAAAGTCATGGGATACCTATTATATTGTGTCGGCCCTCCTTTCGCCCGGCGAAGTGCAGCAACTCGACGTGGCAGGGACTCAACAAGTCGTTGGAAGTCTTCTGCAGGAATATTGAGCCATGCTGTCTCGATAGACGTCCATAATTGTGAAAGCGTTGATGGTGCAGGATTTTGGGCACAAGCAGACCTCTCGATGATGTCCCATAAATCCTCGATGAGATTGATGTCGGGCGATCTAGGTGGCCAGATCATTCATTGGAATTGTCCAGAATGTTCTTCAAACCAATCGCGAACAGTTGTGCCCCGATGACATGGCGCATTGTCATCCATAAAAATCCCATCGTTGTTTGGGTACATGAAGTACATGAATGGCTGCAAGTGATCTCCAAGTAGCTGAAC